CCCGCCCGGCGGCACGGCGGGGCCTGGCCGCTCTCGGGCGGCGCGCGGTGCTCGCTCGGCCCTGCCCCTGTCCCCTCAAGGCCCAGCTGCCTGGACACAGCAGCCCTCCGTGTAGGGCGGGAGAGGTTTTCCTGGTCCTTCTTGTGGTATGCGGAAAGCAACGCCCTGCAGGTACATGTCTGAAGCTTTAAATGATGTCCTGCCCCAAAGGACATAGAGCAGAAAGGAAATGTCTGGGTCTTAACCTCGTTTTGCAGATGCAGCGTGTGACAGTGACCAATGCGTACGCTCAAAAGCGTAGCCTGTCACGGTAGTGTCTGCAATCAGATGTTAATAGCTCTAAGGATCCAAGTGAAAACTTAGGCAGCAAAAGAACGTCTAATCCTTCAAGTATCAGTCTCTGGGCTGGTTTCTTAACAATGAGATGTAATTGCTCAAGTGAGGTTTACAGACCTCACTTGTGGCTGCAAAGCTCTATCAACTTCTAGGTGGTCCAGGCAACGTGATTAGCAGAGCTGTCACCCAGCACGTCAGGTCCAAGTTTGCAGTAAAGTTTCTGAGAGCAGGCAGAGGGGGGCAGCTGCCTCCTCTCCCCCAAAACATCCAAATTGACAAACAAACCCGGCCCTCCTCATCCCCAAGATGCTTCGCTTAAGCCAGGAAACTGGAAAGCAACAGGTCTAAAAAGGTCAAATGAAGCTTATTGCAGAATTACTCAAATGCGTGTGTGTGTGTATGGGCTTGTGTAGTCTACCAGCATAGATTTAGCTTTTCACATCAGCAGCCCATAGCACTGGTACACTTGCCATCTATTTTGGGTCAGAAACAGCGTTCCGCTCTGCGCTGGGGGAGCCTATAGGGTCACTGCGGGGGCTTGACAGCCCGGACAGGAACTTTAACGCGCGCGATTGAGGCGTGTGGTTCCTTCCTTCAGTCTCGGAGGCTGCTCAGGAAGCGGCACGAAGTCAGGGGGTCGAGAGGCCCCTCGGAGGGAGGAAGGGGTGGCCCACGGCCCGCCGGCGCC